CACAGACCCCTCTGCTCTCTGGTTTACACGGACACCCGGCGGGTGGGACAGGCACGGGTGTGTCACAGGCAGGGCACACGAGGGGCCTGGGCTGACACTCTGTCCCGCAGGGGTGATTATCAAGCGGAGGAGCGGGGAGGTGCCCTGCCCCTTGGCCGTGGAGGCGTTTGCCGCTCACCTCAGCTACATCTGCAGATACGACGACAAGTACAGCAAGTAGGTGCCGGGGGGCAGGGCGGGGCGGGGTCCTGTAGAGTCACCAGCACAGGATACGGGGATACGGGGACGGGCCATCAGTACTGCCCCAACTTCAGATCGAACGATTGAAAGACAGCCCCCTCTGCTCTCTGGTTTACACGGACACCCGGCGGGTGGGACAGGCACGGGTGTGTCACAGGCAGGGCACACGAGGGACCTGGGCTGACACTCTGTCCCGCAGGGGTGATTATCAAGCGGAGGAGCGGGGAGGTGCCCTGCCCCTTGGCCGTGGAGGCGTTTGCCGCTCACCTCAGCTACATCTGCAGATACGACGACAAGTACAGCAAGTAGGTGCCGGGGGGCAGGGCGGGGCGGGGTCCTGTAGAGTCACCAGCACAGGATACGGGGATACGGGGACGGGCCATCAGTACTGCCCCAACTTCAGATCGAACGATTGAAAGATCCGAGGCCCTGGATCCCGGAGCCCTCCCCCGGCTCCCAGGCTCGGCCAGCAGCCCAGCCTTCCTCTGGGCACCGGCCCTTCTCTGCCCCTCCCTGCTCAATGGTGCCTCCTTCCGCCTGATCACCCTTCCCTCCGCCACTGGCCCGGACCCCGCACTCCTGTCCCCCTCAGACCCTCCTGTGGCCGTGGTCTGCCAGCGGCTTCCCAGTGATTCCCGCCACGGTGCCCTCACAGGCGTGGTCTCATCTCAAGTGTCCACATGGAACGGACGGGATGCAGTGTCCGTGTGTCCCCGCAGTGCCGTCTGCTGGTCTGCTGGCCGGGCGTCCTTACGTTCCGAACAGGAACTGAGCACCGATTGCCGTGGGACCTGGGTTTGCCACTAGGTCACTAGTCCTGGCCTCACCCAGAACTGGGTGGGACCAACCTCAGGGGCCCTGGGCCGTGGACTTGGCCTCTCAGAGGAGGTGACATCTGGGCGTGGCCGGGAGCCGCTCCAAGGGGGCCCCTGAGCTGTCTCCTGCGTCCGCTCTATGCGCCCCGCACCTGCGAGGCCCGGGCCCGGGCGGCTAGCACAGGGAACCCCGCCTGTTTAGGCATCTGCCGGGAGCCTGTGGGTGGGCGCGGGGAGGATCTGACCCTCAAACCCTTCGCCCTCAGAGCGGAGACAGGAGTGTAGACGTGGCAGGAAGAGAGGTGCCCTGTGGGGTTAGCCCAGGAGGATCCCGGGCCCTGTGCTCTGAGCCACAGACGCCTGCACCCGGGTTCAGCTCCCCCCTCCCACCCCTGTGATGGGAGCTGTTCTCCTCTTTGTCTTTCTTTTAAAAAATAAGTTACTGATTTCAGAGAGGAAGGGGGAGGGAGAGAAACATCAATGATGAGAGAGCATCATGGATCGGCTGCTTCCCGCACGCCCCACACTGGGGATCGAGCCCCCAACCCAGGCCTGTGCCCCGACCGGGAATCGCACCCTGACCTCCTGGTTCATAGGTGGACGCTCACCACTGAGCACCCGGCCGGGCTGGGGCGGCTCCTGACCCCCGTGTCCGCGCAGGTATTTCATCTTCCACAAACCCAACAAGACCTGGCAGCAGGTGTTCTGGTTCGCCGTCAGCATCGCCGTCAACAACGCCTACATCCTGTACAAGCTGTCGGACGCCTACCACGCGCAGAGGTACAGCCGGGCGCAGTTCGGCGAGAGACTCGTGCGGGAGCTGCTGGGCCTGGAGGACGCCTCTCCCACCCCCTGACCGGGGCCGGGCTCGGGGAAGGACCAGGTGGGGGGGAGCCTGCCGTCGACCTGCCCGCCCCGGGCCT